ACTCATGCTGGCCCAAGTGGCCAAGCCGTGAGCATCTCGGTGACATCCCTTCTCCAAAGGTGCCTGAGGCTCTGTAGCATCTTAAAAGGCTTGTGAGCACGGCCCTGTTGCAGGAGATGAAGCCAAGGGGCAAAGTCTGGATGGGGCATGGAGGTGCCTCTGGGGCTGCCTTCCCCTGTGCATGCCCACCCTTCCTCCCCACCTGCCCACCCACTGTGGGGGAAGTATTTTGGCTGAGGAAGACCCCGGCAGTGCAGACCCCTGCCTGCTCCCTTCTGCCACCTCATGCCCCTCAGGCAGCAGCTGAAGGCAGCCCATGCCCTGTCCCCTCGACAGGGACCATTGCCGGCAGCGCGGGGTTGATGCGAGTGACAGGTCTGATGGCACCGGTGGTTTCCAGGAATAGTCTGGGCATCACCTGCGATGCAGCAAAAATAAATTTCCCAGGTGCTGCTGGAGGTGGATGGCAGCGCCTTTTCCAGGTGGCAGCAGTGTCATTCGCATCCCACACTCACAGCTCCATGGTTTCTTGGGGACAATTACACCCCAATCGTCGCTGGTGCCTTGTCAGCGGGAGGAAGAGGGTTTGTCACTCCCAACTCGACAGGAGCACAAGTGTTTTGGCAAAGCCACCCACCGGTGGGTTTCTCAGCTCTGCGACGCCCTGGCAGGGGAAATGGTCCTGCCAGAGCGGTGTAGGAGGAGGCTGCTAGGGACAGGGATGCTCCTGCGCATGGTGAGGGTGGACAGGGTCCTTTTGGTCTGGGGGCTCCCCTTGTGCTGCTGGTGAAGGGCAGCCGTGTCCTGCATGCACTGGGCGATGCCCCTGCCCAAGGGGCACGTGGTGCCTGGCTGCTGCCCACCCCCAGGACTGAGCCAGATGGCCCTACCCAGTGCCTAAACCTACCCTCTCGATAGAGCTCCCCGGGCAGATGAACGCACCGGATTTAATCTAGATGCACATTCCTCATCCAGCCCTGACACGCAAACTCAGTTTAGCCAGTTTAATCTGTTTCTGGGTGACCTGCAGGGCCTGTTCCCACAGCAGGAGGAAGGACGGGCACCATGGTCCCACATGGCCAGGGACGGCTGTGAACCACAGGCATGAGTGAAGCCATGGCCAGGGCCTCCATCAGCCGGGACATTGCACCCGCCCGGCCGCTGGGTCCCCCCTCGCATGCGCAGGTGATGGCAGAGAGCTGGTTTCCACCTGCCCCCAGAGGCTGGGTGACACTGGCCGTGTCTCACCTCCACATGCTAAAAGAGAGCAAATTGCACCGGAGCAAAGTGCCGGGTGAGCACCGCGGGGCTGAGCCCAGCGGCCATCTGCTCCCCCACCCTGGGGGTCTGCAGCCCGTGGGGAGGGCTAGAGCTGGGAGCATCCCATCCTGGCCGTGGCACGGATGGACGTGCATGGCATTGACCAAGAGCAGGCAGCACCAGGAGAGCGTGGCGTCAGCTCTGTGCATCTAAAATAAGACACGGGGCAGAGCTGGGGCTGCCAACCAAGAGCCGCGGGGGCCGAGCGGAGCCAGGAGTGCAAGAGCCTCACGGGGAACGACAGCGGCTGCTCGGCGGGCACAGCCCTCAGCCGCAGCGGGGAAGAGAACGGGGCACCGCCAGGGAAAACCCATCATTCCTTAACACTGAGCAGACGGTCTGCGCCGCCTGCCCAGGACCCCCAGTGTGCTGCTGCCTGCTGAGCGCCGCCACGCAGGTTGGCAGCCAATTCATCAGCCCAGAGCAGCCTTAAAAGGCAGCAGCTGCCCAGGCCCCTTGGCTCCAGCGTGGGCCCCCAGGGAGCACAGAGGCACCAAGTGGCTCCTGGCACCGACAGCGCATGTGGCTGGTCCCGGTGGGGAGGTGCAGGAGTGCACCCAGCAAGAGCTCCGGTGCGGGTGCATTGTGACGGCCGTGCCCGGTGCCTCATCCCCCGGGGCTGCACAGCCCGGCCTCCCACACACCTTCCCCATCGGCACGGGGACACAGCCATGCTGCAGCTGCTGCCAGGCCGAAGGCTGGCACCCACACAGGGAGTTTTCTCCAGCACGCCTGAAGCTTGGCTTGACAGCAGGAGATTAGCTTCGTTTCCAGCTCTGCCTGGATTTGGTGACCTCTAACAAGGACCTTCCACCCTCCGCCCTGGCTGGCAGCCTCTGCTCCTTGCTCCCGGGGAAGGGAGGGTGACGGGCCCCACTCCCTGCGGCACAGCTGCTCTGTTTATCACTGCTACCGGGGAAATGGAGGCACTGGTGCAGAGCCAGGAGCTGGGACTGTCCCCTCACCCTCCCCAGCAATGGGGTGTAACTGTGCCCAAAGCGGAGCAGGGACCACAGGGCTTTTGATAAGGGACCAGGTGATGGCAGGGTGTCCCCACGGAGCCACGGTGGATGAAAGGGAAGGCAGATGGGACATGACGCAGCAGGGTCACCCCAGACAGGAGAGGGCTTACGGGGCACTGGGTTGTGCCGCAGCCCCAGGAACGGCCCCGTGGGGAGCAGCCGCTGCCCAGCTCCAGTTCAAAGGAAACCCAAACGGCAGCCTGGCCAAATCCTGGTACCAACGTTTCCAGGAATTATGCGGCACTGCTGCCCATGCACCAGCTCTCCAAGGGACAGCTTAGTCACATGTGTCACTAAAAGCCATTGCCAAGACGAGAAGCCAATGGTTTTCTTAACAAAGCAGCTTCTGCCCAGTTTTCTTAACAAAGCAGCTTCTGCCCAGCAAAGTCGCATGAATCTCCTTCAAAAAGCATTGCCCGCATAGAGGTACAGCCGAGATTTTCATCAGAGGTGACTCCTTCCATCGCTTCTCCCTACCAACCCCCCCAGCTTTGGGGAGACAGCAGTCTCCCAGCCGCTGCCCTGAAACACATCCAGCTTCGCCACTTGCAAACTAGCAGGAGCAGGCTTGGTTTATTAGCGAATTTTAGTTGATCATTTCAACCCCTCTGCCTCAGTCCAAGCCAGTAGCACTCGGGCCCTTGCAGAGCATCCTATTGTGCCCTTTCACCACACTGGGTACCAAGCAGAGCTATCGCACACTCTGTGCTCCTGCCACAGGCTGAGAATTCCTCCTGGCCTGGCAGATCCTCCGGTGGGGGCAGTTTCACTTGACAACTGCAGAAAATTGCAAGGCTGGGTTTCACAGCAGCCGAGCTGCCACGCACAGGGAAGGGAGTGCAGCAGCCTGCCAGGAAAGCTGCTGTCAGTGGCAGGAGCAGAGGTGCAGGAACAGGCTCCGAGAAGCCAGGGAAGAGCCATCGCACAGCCCTCCCGGGCAAAGAAAATAGTGGAGGCAGAAAGGCAAAGACAGGTTTGTTTGAAAAGTTGCAAAAGGATTTCAAACCAGGGAGCTGCCTGGTATCACAGTTGTAGCTAAAAAGACCTTTTCCCTCTCCATAAGGCAGCAGCTGAAAAGCCGCAGTGAGGCAGCACTGGAGGGATGTCCAACACCCGCTTCTGATTCCCCAGGGGCCCCCGTTGAAGGAGCTGCTGGCACATCCAGGGCAGCTGGCCCTTTGCAGCTTGCCTTTCCATTAGCCACAAATGCGGCAAGATAAAAAGATAGCACAAGTGTCCTTTTAAGGCCACAAAAGGTAAAGCAAGATGAAAGAAAACACTAAGCTTTGTGGCATTCAGGAGCTCATGGTAGAAGCTGATGAAGCTGTAAGCTGCTTTCAACATCAGTTTTAAGGATGACAGATGGAGACAAGGAAAAAAAACCCACCCAGTTCTCTGCTTTAGCCTCCAGTGGATTTGAAGTCAACATTGCTGTATTTTAAGTGAAGCTTTTAATGCTGACCCCGTTGTTGGCCACCTGCTCTTCATCCCCACGCTTTCTGCTGAAAAAGCAGAAACCTCTGTCCACCCCTGCCAGGGTCCCGAGCCTCGGCAGGATGGCGTGAGCGGTTCTCACCCAGCCACCTTTGCCAGCTACAGGTACACAAGTATCACGCAGCTCTGCCAGCCGGGCCAGAAATCCAGCCTTCCTCCAACTGGTCGAATTCCTGGAGCGTACAGGAAAGCGGGGCGCTATTTTTCATCATTTAAAGTTATACCTGAAGCAACGAGCAAAGAATGCAAGACAGGAAAATAGCGATTGCCAGCGTGGGTTTCTTTTCAAGCTGCGGTGTGCGGTGCCGAGCAGTTCACCAGCGCACCTTCTACCGCAAGACGAGATAGACAAACTGTTTGGATTTTAAGTACTTTATCCTCTTAGCCCGCAGTAGTCCATTACAGTTGCGGGGCGATATGGCACAGATCCTGTTTAGAAACACACATCTCGCAGCCTCCTCCTTCCCACCCTCGGGACTCTGAATAATTAGAACACAGCACACGCAGAACTAGGTGGGGTATAAAGCAAGGGGTCTCATTTCCGTCTCTACAGGGTTACAGGCATACCTGATCCCTCAAAGCGCACACCGAGGCTCACGTCCCCCGATACTGCCAGGCCACAGAGAGCCGGAACGCCCCCAACACGGCCAGTTTCCTGAATATCAGGAAGTTTGGGACAGTGAGCTGATTTAGGGGCATTGGCAGGAAGCACAACTGTAAAGCCACAGAGCGCTATAATGGTTTTGCTCCAGATGAGTGACCTCAGAAGAGAGCGTCACGACTCCATCAGTCTCCATCATCTTTTTTTGAACATGGCTGGTGAGTTAAACTTTCACATAGAGCGGACTATTTGTTTACAAAGTTGTACCAAGACATCTCGCCCGGCAGTCGTATTGCTAAACTGATTATTTACCGCTTAGGCTTGGCACAATGGGTCTTGCGCCAAAGAGCACGTTGCTGCCGTGTCGCAGGCAGCTGGCCTTCCCCGCTGACTCACCGGCACGTGATCTCCTCCCACCACACAGCCCGCCCAGGCACCTCACCGGCTTCCTCGGGGAGTTCGGACCTTCCAGGTGAGGTGTGGGACACGGTCACTTACAAAGGGCGATTTGGTAATCGCCATTTCTGATTTAGCACTTCATCTTCCCATTCAAACTATTCAGCTTTGAGAGAAGCCAGCAAGATATGATTTATTTTCTTTTTTTTAAATGAGAAAGAGTTCAGTTTATCCTTTCAGTTCTCAAGAGGATTAACAGCAGGTTTTAAGAAACAGTTTTAAAAAAAAATCAAGTTAAAATTTCCACATAAGCCACCTCCATTTCAGTATTTTTTTGACACAGATAAAACGGCACGCAAGACTAGCTCGCACGGAGCAAGCCAAGCCCTGTGAAGCGTGGATTTCTGCTAAAGTGAGAGCCGAGAGCTTCCAGGATGCATGGCCGTTCCCGGGCTGCACGCCCAGCTTCAGGAGCACGAGTTTCACAAAGAAGTTCACGTGTGAGGAAAAAGCTACAGCAATCGTCACAGCGTTCTGCGGCAAGCAGCTGGCCTTACCCTGAAATCGCTGGGCTACTGTAAGGGTCATTAGTTGGGTCTTGTGCGGCACCAAAAATTAGCAGCAAAGCAGTTTTAGGACTAGCACTGTTGTGCCGCGGAACCACGAATCCTGCTTTAGGTGGGCAATTTGTAGGGCTGAGCTGTAGGGTACAACGCCGGCTGAGGAAGTTCCTCTTCCTTCAAGAATTAATTGTATTTCCTGCCTTTCCTGGCAGAAGGTGCTTCTGCTACTGGAGAAGTGGCCGAAGTCAAACCCACGGCAGCAGGAGCAGTTTCAGAACAGCCTCCCAGGATCATTAGCGTGATTCCTCACAGCCGGGCTGTTTTCTGGACACATTTCATGATAATACGCAGCCTCGGAGGGAGCAGCGACAGTAAATTGCTGCTGTTGAGAATCCTGGCAACAGCTTTGCCACCCGGTACTTCTGGGATCACCTGAGACAGCCTATTTCTGAACTACCCTCAGTTCCCAGATGTTCTCCCTACTTTGAAACACCAACTCCTCTAGAACTAAAGCAGCAGCTAAATTCAAATTACTATGAAATAAAGCAATCTAGATTAAGTAAACGAGGTGAACACGGTATCTACGTACAATAAGCAATTTCCCCTTCGACTGTCTTCAAGAGGCTTCCCACAGCGAAACACAGGAGTTCAGCGAGGTGGGACCTCTAGCTGTAATGAGCTATTTCCCATTTTACTTCACCACGATGCATTATGCTACTGAAAGACAGACTCAAAGCTGCAGCTGAGAAAAATAATTAACCCCCCCACACCCCAACAGCAGGCTGCCCTTTAGCAGAAACAAGGTTTGAGTACAATCCAGATGATTCAACTGTAGCGGTATTAGCTTCACTTGACTGTATTTAAATAAAATAAAGCATTTAAAAAATAACAGGCACTAAAATATCCTCACTGCTTACACCACGTATCAGCTGAGCCCCACGCAGATGGCACGCGACAGCCTCTCCCCACCCCTCCCTGGGCAGACTGTTGGGCCGTTGGTGGATGTCACAGAACACGAGAAGCCGTTTCCACAAAGCAGCGTAACAAGAGTATTCAGAAGAGTCAGCTCCCAGCCAGCATCCAGGTTGCTCGGTTCAAGCCTGCGGCCACAAGTTCCACGGTGTCCCCAGTAAGACAACAGACGAGGAGAGAGCTGGTACCCGATAACCACAAGCAAGGAACAGGCACGTCTCCCTCCCGCTGCAGCCTCCCCCCTCCCACGATGGGCAGTCTTTGCTTGTTCACTTCAGCCCTTAGAGTTTCTTCAGGCGACTGTACAGTTCCCTTTTGCTCTTCTCACCAGCCCAGGTTCGGCTTTTGGTGCGGAACCTTTTCAAGTCTTCTTTAAAGTCTTCGTGGTGCATGGGGCGATAGCTCTGGGGCTCGCAGAAACTCTGGGGAAAGAGAAGCTGGTTTCACTTCACTATGTCACAGGAGTGATGATCTCTTTGAGACTCACCGACAGGGCCTGGTAGCAACCATTTCAACCACTACCACCAGAATAAACAGAACTGGAGTCCCCACCCTGAGCAGGAGTTTCATACCAGGCATTCGTGAACAAAGCCAAGGGATATTCAGATTACAGCTGCTTCAGAAGTGATAGCTATTAAACGAAGGACTTTCAGCCCTGTATACAGAGCTCTCACCCCAAATTTTCTGCCAGACATCAATAAACAAAGTCAGTCTATCTAGTATAGACCTTGAAGTAGCACAGATTTGAAGAATACTTGTCTCTCGGACCCGCCAGCCCCTGGCTCACAGGCCAGTCCCAGAGCATTAAAGGCTGTCGTCGGCTGTTCCATGCTGCCACCTTGAGGCCCTCGGTCCTCCCACCTCGGGAGACAATACCCACGGGGCCCGAAACAAAACCCAGGCATCCAATGCCACAGGGGAGCCAGCAGATCGCAGGGAGAGCCAAAAAACAGGACAGCACTCGCTACCATGAATACCGGCATCCCCCAAGAAGGCCCAAATGCTGGGAGACCCAACATCCCACTGGGAAACCACACACAGCCCCGCCCAGGCGGCCACAGGAAGGCCAAATATCTCACAGCCCTCTGAAAACGCACCAAGTTACAGAACAGGAAGGTAATCTAAGAGATACGCTGAAGTGTGAGGGCCTGAGAGGGACTAAAGCGACAGGCCACAGTCTAGTTTGTGTCAGAACGGCAGGGAAAATTAGCTGGAGAAAGAAGAGTACAGCCACTGAAATGCTGAAGCAGCAGAAGCCAAGTGATAGGAGAAACACCATCCTCACAATGCTGGGAAGAGAGCTGCTGGGCATTTTTTTAGTTTCCTTTTCTGAATTAGAGGCTGAAAACTCAAAGCTCGAGTTTTTCAATGTTGCTATTTTAGTATAGTATGAGACTTCAGGTTTCTATTTGTTATACGGCAATTACTGTCAAGCCTCTTCTCCCCTAGCCCTTGCAGGCTGAGTAGTCTTAAATTCCTTCTCCAAATGACATTTTGAACTCCTGCTTGTTATAAAAGGGCAGAAACCAGTTTTATATTTTACTCCTGAGACAAGTGGAAAAACCTTTCAGCTATGGCAGCAAGACAGCTCTGAAGTACGGGATAGGCTTAGAGAAGTGAAGGCAACCTCACTGCCAAATGTTAACTGCTCTCAGTATGGGAGAGCACTGGGAAACAGAGCAGGAAAAGTTACCCCGGCAAAAACCACCCTACTCCAAAGAGAAGTCTGGTTGAGTATGAATACATGGGTATTTCTTTAGCTATCATTTCTTCTCTTCCGAGTGTGAAAGGGATGGATTTAAGAGAATGTTACTTACACGGCATCTTAAGAAGAAGTCCTTGTAACCCCCTTTCAGGACATAGAGTTCTGGGTAATGGAGGTTGGGGTATTCGTTACCCAGCCTGTCCCGCTCTCTCACAAACCGGCACCTGTAGCAGGAAGAAGCCCTGTGTTAAATCTTGCATTCAACAAATAACACACGAAAACGGCGCTCACCCGAAACTTCCCATTCCTTGGATTACAGACGCAAGCCTGTAAGCAAGAAGCTGGCGGCTCACAGCTTAGACAGGTGTACTCTGCACTGGGTAAAAAACTGGCTGGACGGCCGGGCCCAGAGAGTTGTGGTGAATGGAGTTCAATCCAGTTGGCGGCTGGTCACGAGCGGTGTTCCCCAGGGCTCAGTTTTGGGGCCGGTTTTGTTCAATATCTTTATCGATGATCTGGATGAGGGGATCGAGTGCACCCTCAGTAAGTT